AGTTAAAAATTCTGAAAATAAAATTTTCTATTTTAGTTTAGATAAAATGATGTTCTATGTTGAAAGACAGCATGTGACTTAAAAATACATATGGACTTTTGATTTTCACCAACTAAAAGCCTAAATAATGAAAAATGTCTAAATAACAAAAGAAATATGCTTTTACTAGCCTTTGTCCTTTTTATAATTCTATGAAACATTCTCTCCTATATGCCTAACAGTTCACAGTCTATCAATGTGCTTCCATAATATACTGTAGAAATTCTCAGAGAGTGATCACTTTTAATAAAATCAATGATGAATAAATCAGTGGGGGGGGAGTGATGGGCATGGAGGAAAATGTGCAATAAAGAATGAATGGAAATCCAAAGTATCAATTCAAAGTCTCTATAAACTCTCATTAAAATCTAAAAAAAAAAAAATTAAATTCTTTGTAGATCTAAGGAATAAACTTAAGTATATATAATATATAAAACATACTATTCCAACTTTTTAAAATATAAATGAAGAGAAAATTATACTCTAAAAGCTTGTTAAAATGGAGTATTCAAAAAAATTTCTAAAATAATATATAACATAAATAAATAGCTTCCTTCTAAAGCGACAATATAACCCCTAATATGTAATGAGGAGAAAAATCTTATGAAATTTATAAAGTTTTAGCACTTTTTGTTTTAGGTTTAATACAAAACTGTATTTCTGTGAAAATGATATAAACTAAAACAGATCTTTCTGAAGAAAAAGGATAACTAAATTCAAGTAATAAATTCTCTATTATGTTACACAAATGGTTTGCAACACAGGAAACAGGACCACTCTATATAGGCCCTATTAAATATTTTCCTTTCATTTTTACAGCATGCTTATCCATTATGATTTCTTTTTCATTTCTGACATCTTAAAAAGAAGTATTCTTAAAGTTGACTTATAAACAAAGTAAACAAAACATATTTCTTGTTTACCTTTAGAAACTGATCCTTGATCATATCAAATTTCTGCTTTTCATGCACAGCTCTGGCTGTATTTGTTCCTTCAAAAGGTTCTACAACATAAGTGCACATATAAAGAAAATATTATCAAAATGGTAACTTAGGATTCCATATAAAGTCAAACTCTAAGAAATTATAGAAATAAAGATAACAGAAAAAGAACTGATGTCTTTGAGTTGTGGTGCTAGAGAAGAGAACTATATATTCCATAGAGTGCCAAGAGAACAAATACGTCTTATGATGGTGCTCCTTAAAGAGAAGGATGGTGAAACTTCATCTCACATATTTTGGGGATGTTGTTAGGAAGAATCAATCCTTCAAAAAGGACATCATGCTCAAAAACGTGGAGGGTCAGCAAAGGAGGGGAAGACCCTCAAAGGGATGGACTGACACAGTGATTTTAACAATGAGCTCACTGGTTGCAGAAAGGAAAAAGACTGGACAGGATAGAGTAAGGTTCAGATCTATTGTTTATAGGATCACTATGAGTTACAAGCAACTTAATGGCATCTAACAGTAAGAAATGAATGATAAAAAGAGTAATTTCATATGGTTCGGCCTCATACTATTTTAGGTACATGCATATAGTTGTCATTTAAGAGTTATAAATTTTAATAAAGTATAATTTTAATTAGAAGATGACTAAACAGGAAGACTTACAGCATAAATTTGAATCATAGAACTGAATTAAAATTTAAATAAAAGAGACAAATGTAAGGCCAGGGAGCTACTATTGTGGAAATAAAGAGTATAAAATTATCATTAAAAATAAATTACTCTATCCAATAAAGATGGCCAATATAAAATATTATAAAAAGTTAAAAACCAATGAAACAAAAAGAGATCACCAAAATCAGGAGGAAAATGAATACTACTGTTCAAAGTAGGTAAGTACAGAGGTTAAGGTATGAATGAGTAGGGTTTAGAAAAAGTAAGAACTGTAACATAAGATAAATCTGAAAGTGAAAGAACAAAAGAATAACAAGCAGAGAAGCGAAGAGAAGGTGACAAAGGAAGGTTTTAGAAATTGAGTCTCCATTATACTGCTGCTTCCACATCTACATTCCTACACTACCCAATAAAGTAAGAGAGGAGTCCATATACAGACACAGAAACAAGAGGGGGGAAAATGCAAGGAATAGTGGAAGTGGATGATTTTTAAAGGTTAATATAGTGAAAACAAACAGGCATACAGAGTAATATGGGAGAGCTGAAATGACAGAAGCAAGTAAAAATACTGAAGTTTAGTAGCTTTGATAATGAAAAGCAATAAAATTATACTTGAGAGAAGCCAGCAAGGACAAGTAAAGAGGATTTCTTTGGTGCAACCACTGTGGAAGGCGGTATGGCACTTTCTCAAAAAGTTGCAAATAGAGATACCATTTGACCCAGCAATTCCACTACTGGGAATATATCCCAAAGAGACCATAATTGACATCCAAGCAGGTATGTGCACACCCATGTTTATCGCGGCTTTGTTCACAATAGCAAAGAGTTGGAAACAACCCAGGTGCCCACCAACAAATGAATGGATAGAGAAGCTGTGGTATATCCACACAATGGAATACTACGCTGCACTGAAAAACAAGGAACTCAGGCAATATTATTCAAAATGGGTGAGCCTGGAGGACATTATCCTGAGTGAAATATCTCAGTTGCAAAAGGACAAATACTGCCTGATGTCACTGCTGTAAAATGGGACTGATATCAGGGTTGGGATAAGACAGAAAAACTGGATAAATTGTGTACACTGCACTGAAAAAGATGAGGGAGAGAATAATTTAAAAGCGATGTATGATAGGGTATTATGGTTATCACAAGAGTCCACAATTAAGGTTGCATAGTGGAATGTACCTGGGGTGGTGGGAGGGGTATGGGGGAATTGCATACCAGGGAGGGTGTTTTTCTTTTACTTTTCAAAGAGAGGAGCGAACTGGGGGGTGGGGGAGAGGACTGAGTGGGGAGAGAATTGCAGCAATGAATGAAAATCCAAAATCTCTGTAAATATTCATTAAAATTATTAATTTTTTTTTAAAAGAGTATTTCCTTAAGAATTAGCTCTATAAAAGCTCAAAACCAAAAATGAACCTGGAGAAAAAGAGACTAAAGTTGCTGGAAAGAGTAATCAAGGGGACATAATCTGGAGGAAAAAAGTGTGAAGTATAAGAAACCGAAAGAGACGCTAGCTTTTCATTTGTCATCTAATCAAAGCAAGTCAGCAATTTAAAATATTGTTTTATTTTAATGTTATGTTTACAGAAGCAATTTTAAAAAATAGTCTACTGTCACTGAAATGTTATTTTTCAGAGAAAAACAGTATGTGGCATTATGTCACATTTTACCAGGTGCAGTACTTAATTATTACAGTACTTAATATTTAAAAGAACACAAGTAACTGAAATAATATATGTCCACTATGCAATTTAGCAAACCAAATACCAAAGCAGCTTATTCAGTCATAAACTTTGTAAGATGGTGCAAATAATCCAAGAGAGTTAAAATATTCTAAATCATATATTTCCTACAAATACTGATTCTTAATTCTTTACTCTTTTTATTAATCTCAAGACAAACTGGCTATCTGTGGGAACAACTCTAAAAATTGCTTCTCAATCAGTTTTCATTTAGTTTCCCAATAAATAAAATGCCTCAAAAATATATCCAATAACTAATGTTAGACAGACTATCTTCAGATCTTTTCCTTTTTAAGGGAAAATCAAGTTCTATTAATAAAATCTAAGCTTGAAATATACGTATCAATACTTCAAGTATAAAAGGATTAATTTTATTTTCATGTAAGAATAATTTTGAAGGTTTTCTTTTTTTTCATCTGCGAAACCATGAAAGTAAGGTTCAATCATATGTATGAGATATATACATAAACTGCTCAAATTTCACCATCCAGAAAGATTAAAGGCCCAGATTAATATTTTTCCTTCACACCTAAAGAATTTTTAATTATAGAAAAGTTAAATGAAAACTTCATAGCCATAAATATTACTTCTAGCTGATATTATTCCAGAAATTCTCTCATTACTATATTGTGAAAATCATGGGACAGCAAACAGAAAAAGAGTTTTGAGAAAGCTACCTTCTATACAGATGTATTTATTTCTCCATTCAATACCATGGGGCCTTGGAATGGCTTTGGCTTCATGAACTGAAATCATCTGACTGTCCCAGCTATAAAGAAAAAGAAAAATGTTAGCTACTTACATAATTTACCCTTTTATTGTTTTATTGGGTAAGTAGTAAGGCTTACTCTGAGTATTTTTATTTAATACTAAAACCTGCCTCAACTTTAGCATCGCCACACCCTCCCTGTTGTTGTTGTTATTAACCCACTGTACAACAGACCCATCCCGATTACCCCAGTCACTGAATCAATCCACCTCATAGAGGGTCTTCCCCTCCTGCACTGTCCCTCCACCCTCTCAAGTATGATGTCCCTCTCCAAGGACCAGTCCTTCCTTACAACATGACCTAAGTATGTTAGATGAAGCCCCAGAATCCTTGCCTCCAAGGAGCAGCCCGATTTAACCCTCTCCAGGATGAAACTGTTTTCTTGGTAGTCCATGGTACATTCAATACTCTTCTCTAGCACCACAGCTCAAAGGCATCAATTCTCCTTGTATCCAATATAGAAGCGACACTCTCCCTACTTTCTGTTATTGTTGTGTTCCACTGAGTCAATTTCAATGCCTCGTGATCTTATGAGAAGGCACAGTGCTTCTCTATGCTCTATAGGGTTTCCAAGACTGTAATCTTTTAAGAAATCAACTGCCACATCATTCTCCTACCCCTGAACAGTCTATGTTAAAGTCAACAGCCAAAATCTTAACCACTACTGTGTCACCAGGGCTCTTTCCCTTTTGAGTCTTACTTTTTTGTCCCATAGCACATATCATCTTCTATCTTTTAATTAATGTTTATTGTATAGTAGAGTAAGGAGTTACCTTGACAACTCAAAGATAAACAGTTCAAATCCATTAGCTGCTCTGCAGGAGAATGATGGCCAATCTACTTCTGTGTGATTTTTTGCCTAAGAAAACCCACTAGAGGGTCAGCTATGAGTTAGTTCCAACACAACAGTACATAATGACAACAACAACTATGTAAAAAAGATGTTCTAAGATATTATTCTACTTTCTCATTATCCATCTAAAACTGCTGAGCATATATTTGATATCTTTTAACTGAATGACATAATAAAACTAAAATACAAATAAGCAAAAAATAGAAAAACTATGGAAAAAAATATATAAAATATATTTTTATATTAATTCACCCCAGTTAAGAATTTTTTATTTGTAAAAAGAAAGGAGATGATTTTGTTTTCTGATAACAATAAAGAATTTGCCAGATTATTTATATGATCCTGGAGAAAATTTTAAAACATTTCAATAGAAATAACTGAAAAAAACTCATTGTCGTAGATTCAGAACCAACTCATAGTTGATCCTCCAGCATATTTCTGAAGCTGTAATTCAAATGGGAGGAGACAGTACATCCTTCTCCCTCAACGTCCCTCATGGATTTGAACATGAGTAGCTCACCATTTGAGTTAGCAGCCCCCTTTCCTGCAGACTATGCCACCAGACTTGTCTAAAAGAAATTAAGTACCATCAAGTTGATTATAATTTGTAGGAACAACAGACCTGAACCTCACCCTGTCCTACACCATCCTCACAATCTCTGCCATGCCGAATTCTGTTGTTACAGACACTGTATCAACCCATCTTGTTGTGTGTCCCTTTCTCGGCATATCTTTATTACAAGAACTGGCACCTCTTATAAAATGCCCAGAGTACATGAAACAAAGTCTCACTATCTTTGCCTGTAAGGAGCATCCTGGTTGCATTTCCTTGAAGACAGACTTGTTTGTTCTTCTGGCAATCCACTGGATAGTGAGTACTCCTTGCCAAAACCACAATCTAAAGGCATTCTTCTTCTATTATCCTTATACACTATCCAGTTTTTAGATGCACAGAAAGTAACTGAAAATATTATGGTTTAGGTACACCTTACTTTTAAAATTATTATTTTTGGTGTACCATCAAACCGACGGGACATAACAACAACAACAACCCTCAAACCGAATCCGACCCACCTTACTTTTTAAAATAGGGTCACTGCACTTTAGTACTTCGTCCTTGATAGCAGATTTTCCCTTTGCAACAAAGCTTTTGATTTCTTTGACTGCTGCTACCACGGGAGTTAATTGTAGATATAATTAAAATAAAACTGTTGACCAACTCCAATCTTTTCTCCATCTATCATGGTGTTGTCTGTTGGTGAGGATTTTTGTTTTCTTTATTTTAGGATGTAATCCATACTGAAGGCTGTAGTTTTAATCTTTTGCCCTAAGTGTTTCAGGTTTACTTCACTTTCTGCAAGCAAGGCTATGTCGTCTACATAACACAGGTTGCTACTGAGTCTTCCTCCAATGTTGATGCCACATTCGTCATTATACAGTTCAAGTTCTTGAATGATTTGCTCAGTATATAGATTGAACAGGTATAATGAAAGCTATGACCCTGTTATACATCTTTCCAATTTTAACCCATGCAATATTCCTTCATTCTCTTCAGACAACTGCTTTTTGTTCTAGGTAACGGTTTCATATAGGCACATGTGTTCTGGGATTGCCATTTTTCTCTAAGTTATCCATAAATCATTATGATCTACAAGAATGAATGCCTTTGCACAGTTAATAAAATACAAGTAAACATCTTTCTGGTATTCTCTGATTTCAGCCAAAGTCTATTTGATCCCAGCAATGATATCCCTGCTCCATGGGGGGGAAAAAAAAAGCAGGCAATCTCTTGCTGTTTAATTTATGGTCTTGGAAAATTGCTATAGGATCAAGTGAGTTGGTACTATAGTTCTAGAGACCAAAAAATCAAAGTGGGTCCCAGTTGGCTAAAATCAAGGCACATAAGAACAACTTGTCTAGCTTACAAGACAATTAAATCTGCAGTAGTAGAATTAAAATTGGAAACATTTTTTAAAGTGTATGGGTTTTTTTCTGTAATAAGAGTTTGTATTAAAATTTGTATCCTGCTGTCAAATTACAACTCTGACTTCCTTAATCAAAAGAACTCCAAGCTTATCACTATAATTCTATTAGACTTGGGAACTCTGACAAGCGTGCTCCTGGGCGGAAGGGAAGCTTGAAAGTGGTGCACAAGGAAGCCACCTCAGATAAGCAACAGAGAGGCGTCTTTCAAAGGTACCCGGGATTTCCA